TTCTAATTTGCTAATTTCAATCTGGTAAAGGGAAAACTGGAAAAGTTAATCCAAGATTTATCCTTTTATCATCCCATACTTTGTATTCGGGGTTTTAGTTTTTATGTCCCCCTCCTTTTTATTATAATTAATAAAAATCAACATGAGGATGAGACACTCAACTTGAATATGTTCTAAACTCTTTAGAAATCGCATGTTTCGTTATTTCATTGGCTTAAAAAATAGGCTTAGGGACATTTTTTTAATTATTTTCGCACAGGGCATCAAAAATCTTAAGACCGTCCCTGATAATACATCTAGTCAGCATTAGTCGTGATAAAAGTCATCGCTTTCACTTACCGAGTAAGATTTGCACTTTATCATATTCATCCGTTAAGATAATGCGACTTAGTAAGCGCTAACCCGGTTAAACGCTTGGTAAACGACTCCTAAATTACAAATTTTCTCCCTCTAGTCATACTTTTTGGATTGGATCCCAAACATGTATGCAAGGTTTTAAGTAGCATTGAGGTATGGTGTGGCAGTGAGGGCAAACCTCAAGTGTTGAAAGCCACGACGAGGTTACAACATTTTTAAGTCATGGCTTATGGTGGCAAATCTCCATATCATATATAATATTATATTTATAAATATATGCTTTCTACCATTACTCCATAAATCAACGAGAATAAACAATATGAATTAAGTTATACCTTAAAAAGATAAGTAAAATCAAATATCATGTTATAAAAACCGTGTATTGTGTCACGCCGTGCTTTATTGAACAGAAAAAATATAACATATTATTCTTCTTCTATTAAATAAATGTTCATAACTTTATTTTAAATAATCTTAAAACAAATATTCGATTTACATTTTTAATCTTAATTATAAGGTAAATAAGGGGTCGTTTACCAAACATTTACTCGATAAGTATTTATTGAGAAAATTCAATACTATTATTTACTTATCGAGTAATATCTTAATCAACAAAAACGGCTTTTTATGCAATAATTTACCCGGTAAGAGCTGACTGTGGTAAGAGTTATTGCCCTCACTTACCGGGTAAGACTTTCGGTCTTTGCCTCATTCTTACCGGGTAAATTTTTTGGTCTTTATCATATTCATTTAGTAAGGTAATATAACTTGGTAAATGCTTACCCAAGTAAGTATTTGGTAAACGACCTCTAAATTTATTATTTTCTTTATTATTAAGAATATAATCCTCATTTAATTAATTAAAGATATATAATATCCTTAAATATACTAATTTTTGTTATAATGTTATGCATATTTATTTTGTTACGAATAATTTATATTTTTTTAAGACTTGAATTAGGGTTTGTATCGACACGTTATATACATGCTTAAAGCATGTGTATATTTGAATGAATTTAAAAAAAATAAAAAGACAAAATATGATAAAACAAAAAATAATAAAAAGAGCAAAATGACTAAAACACCCTTGACTTAACGGATCTACCTTTTTTAACTGAGTTAGTTTGAGGGAGAGGGATTAAAAGTGGAACAAAATGGCAACCACAATGATCAAAAGTGTAATTAGTTCAAAGGGTGGACGAGAGTTGCTGGTAGGTGACAACTATAGGGACCAAAAATGTAATTTACTCGGAAAAAAATAATATTATTATCATAATGCTTATATCCTTGTAGTTATATCTATCACATTATTCACTATCTACGGATGAAAAACATATCGATCGATACGATTAACATTTACTCTATCGAAAATGTATCCATCACTCATCTGTTCAAAACCAATTATGTCAAGTGATAGATGACATGTTTGCACAAATCCCACATATGATGTAAATGATTCGAGCTTTTAACGAGCTCAAGCTTTTATCAATCTCGAACAAGAAATAAAACTCGTTAACTTAAACGACCAAACTTCATAACATCAAATGCAACTTAGCTCATTCAAAGACTCGATTAGATTTTTCGAGTTGAATTAGTGATGGCCAAACCGGCCCGCCCCAGGAACGTCGGAGAACCGAAACCGGGACCGACTAAGGGACCGCTGACCAGGACCGGTTATGCTTTTGGACGGATTTGTGGGACCGGTTATGGCCCCGACCCGGTGAGTTAAAAAAACTAGTCGTTTTTGACCTTTTTTTTGTATTTTTGGCCTTCTAAACAATATGTATAAGTGTCATGGAGTATGGTGTAAGATACTAACTTACAAAACGCAAAAACCGGAAAAAAAAGGTTCACAATTCTCGGTTTCTCGCTATATTTTGTGACTTCGACTCGTATTCATTTATCGCTTTCACTTCGCAATTCTCATTTCTTTCTCTCTTTGTCTTACAAAATGGTCGGTGAACAACATGATGCATCAAACGAATAAGTTGCTCAAGTTCTCGCTGAGCACAGATGAAAGTCCGAGATTTGGAATTCATACAACTTAGTGATCCTCACGAACGGGAAAAGAAAGGCACAATGCAAAATGTGACAAACTCTTCTTACGACAGAAGTTAATTCTACTTTAAAGTGGCACAACGAAAAAAAGGTGCCCGGGGTTGAGGTCAAGGGGCGATTCAAGCCAAGCGGTACTTGACACTCAAGGTAAAATATGGTCGTTTGCTTCTGAATTGGACAAACAAATGACAACACAATATGTCATTCAAGTCGGGGTGCCTTTCGGACATTTCAATAACCCACACGTTACGAAGTTGATCCAAGAAACACTACAACTATGATACAAGGTGGTAAGTCGTCAAACCCTTAGACGTAATGCAATTAAAATGTGGAAAATGTCCCTTAGACGTGATGCAATTAAATGGGGAAAATGTGTCGAGGTGAAATGCTACAAATGTTTTCTATTTTGCCTAACAACATTTCTCTAACATGTGATGAATGGAGCGTATCACACGGATAGTCAGTTTCTTATATATGCATAATGACACATTGGATTGAGCCGCAATCGTGACATTTATTCAAACATGTAATCGCGTTTGAACCATTTGGTGCGCCACATTTGGGTGCACGTCAATTTTCAATTATTAAAAAATGTCTTACATTTTATAATTATTTCATAATTTATCTGCTCAAATAATTAACATTTCATTTGATAACGTTAGTAATAACAATCTATGTGTGGAAAAATTAAAGTGTCATTTAACACCTATTTTAAACGGTAAATTATTTCATACACGTTGTTGTGCACACATAATAAATTTAACCGTTCAAGAAGGTTTAAATACTTGTAAACCCATAATAAATAAGTTTAGATTTATGTTGTGGCGAATTTTCACAAAGGATAAGAAAATGAATGCAAAATATATAATATATCGTGAAGACGTTGGTTTTAAAGCTTTAAGACCGAGTTTCGATATTGCCCGTTAGATGGAATTCGACTTAATTTATGATTGAAATTTTTGGCAAAACGAAAAAATGATATTTTTTTCATTTTATAAATATTATTATCCACAAAATTCTATGGGGAATCTTGATTGAGTCATGATTGAAGTATTATACGACATTTTAGGTGATTTAAAAAATGAGACAACGATTTTTTCCGTAATTTATTATCCAACAAGCTCTTTACTTTTAAATCAATTATACATTTTGACAAGTAAAATTGTACAATACGAAGGTCATCATGATTGGGAAAGGTTGATGAGTTCAATGAAAAATAAATTATTAAAATATTTTATAAACATCTCATTTTCTTTTCTTTGTGCTGCGACATTAAACTCGTATTTAAATGTTATCAATGTTGAAGTTTTAATTACACAAATACGTGACTTTTGGTTTAGATATGGCTACGGACAATTCTTTTTCAATAGAACAAAAAGTTTATTTAATCGTAATTTTCAAGATTTATTTGATCATCATAAACATTTTTATGGGGGGGGGGGGGGGGGGGAACCAACAACAAAGCTCTTCAAGTCATGGATTTCCAGGTTCTAATTCTTCTAATGGTCATCGTCAAAGTCATAAAGAGTTGATGACTAATTTAATGAACGATATTTTAAATGAATCAAGTAAAAAAATAGATTTGATAACGATTTGGGTGAACTAAATATGTATGTGCATACTAACCTTCTGGCTACATGCCCCGCAAATGATGTCGAAGATTTTGAAAAAAAATTGGTCTATTAGATTTTTGGAAACAAAAACAACCTCATTTACGGGTTTTGGCATGCATGCGCACGTGATATACCAACAATCTAAGCTAGTAACATAGCTTTGGAGTCTTTTTTTTCTCTTATTGGCAGGATCATTTGGGTACATCAGACAAGACTAAGCTCGGAGTCCATAGAGTGTTGCATTATTTGAAGGATTACTTGGATAACGTTGATAAAATTTAACACATGACATCATTAGAGATGGAGATTGAAGCGGTGGAAGAAAATGAAATCGCTATGGGACTAAGCACGACGCCAACTACCGATACCGACGACACTTACTCACAATATGCCAATAATGAGGAACTCGACACGGATGACCTTGAAGAGACCTGAAGTCTTCAAATTAGTCCGACATGTGATACCGATGATGAATAAATGTATTTTCAAATAATTGAATATTTGAATGAAACTTTAATTATAATAAAACGTATTTTTAAAGTGTATTTGAGTAAGCCAATTACAAATTTTATAATGTATTCAAAAAATCTATCATTAAAATAATTTAAAAACAATTTTTTTGGGTAGGAACCGAGACCGGGACCGGGACCGGTTCCCCATAACCGGTTACGGATCAAGTTAAACGGGCCCGAGTTTGATGACCGGGACCGAGACGGTTATGAGCATCACTGTTTCGGTGAAGCCAGTCCCGGGACCGGATTTTGGCCATCACTAAGTTGAATCGAGCCGAGTTATTTGAGCATGCACTCTTTCGAGCCAAACATGCTTATATGTTCATTAATCATACAATAAAAATATAAAAATTATCGAGCTCAAATCAATAATCGAGTTAATCGATCGCAAGTTCAAACCATAAACGGGCATCGAGCTCGATAATTCAAAAAATATTCGAGCTCAAGCTTGAGCTCTTTAAAAAGTTATTCAAGCTCGAGCCTGATATTAATTTAGCTTGAATAACCTACTACTCAACTCGGCTCGTTTACAACCTTAATCCCACCCATACCCTACTTCCGAGTGGAACATGCTGTATATGTTTGATTGACCCTCGAGTTAGACCGGGTCAGACGACTTTGATGATGGATATACATTGTGCTTCAATCGGTGTATGGGGTCTCACCAACGGAACACATTACGCTCGTTTGTGCTTATTGTGTTCCGATCATTCCATAGGCTTTCACGAAAGACGGACCTCAAGTTGGGGGAAACCGAGCGGGCGTTGCACAGTTTCCATCTTCGATTCCTTGTCTTTTATTGAAATAAAATGAAATTTTGGTCCCTGCAAGATTTCAACAATTGGTTAACCATGCTTATGAATGAAAGAGAGAACAATCTTACGAATCAATAAATCGAATCAAACCAAACCAAGCGATCCCAATATATCCCACCCGAATGTGAGGTCTACAGGATGGGATGAACGCAGACATTTCCTCTACCCGTTAATACATAGCGGTTGTTTCTGTGAAGATCACCTGCTTACAAAAAGTGTGTAAAGAAAAAGAAAGTTTGCCCAAAAAAGCGGTCGGCTCAAAAGTGATTATAAACCCTACGAATCAAAACTTTTATTAAATTACAAAGGATTGGGCTGAAAAGTCGATAGAAACCCTAGTTAGATCTATTGCCTCTACTTTATTCTCGATAACGATAGCTTCGATACGCTACTTTCGTTAAGCTAAAACAATCTCCTAAACAAGAAGAGAGAAAAAAGATGGAAACTAAAGCGAAAATGGTACTTGTTCCCATAAATCTTGTATGAGAAAACCTGTAGATGCTTAACGACCAGACCCCTTGTCGTCGGAAAGCTTTTTTGCAGCCTCGGCGGCTGCGTCTTCGGCCTCGATAGCCTTTTCACTCACATAGCTTGACGATCCTGCAAAAACCAAGTGTTCATGCATTGATTATACTTCTTGAAAGTGGAATAAAAAAACTTACTCCCTCTACCTGTACAAGTGTGCATATTTCTATTTTAGTTTGTCCCAAAATAAGCGTCTGCTTGAAAAAATAATTGGATACTTTCCAATGCAACTCTTGATTATGAGATGAAAAAAATCATTACTCTCTCTATTACTAAGGATGAAATTGTCATTTAGTTAATTAAAAAGTATGATAACTATACATTTTCTAAAACTTTGTGCTTTTTTTGTTGTGGACATTTATTTAGAGACGAAGGGAGTATATGCTAAGAAGAATCACCAGATGCAGTGTCGCTAGCTTGATTCGCAGCATTCTTAGCCGTTTCCTTCATTTTATCGCCATTAAATACCCTGGAAGAAGTTCGAAAGAAAGATGGTCAAAACCACTAGACGGATGCGTATAATCATTCTTGATACTATTGTTTTTAGCATTTTTACAATAGTAAATCAATCAATGATTCATATAGCAAGAAATAAGCTGGTTAAAACTTCCAAATTTACAAGATTTATGTGGATTCTCACGAATATTGTTCAATTTTCCCTCGGGCGTGTAGCTTAGTTGGCAAGGGGCGGAGCAATTTTGCTCAAATATGCTACAGATTCAAGTTCAAGTTAGAATCCTGCAGGGCTTGAACCCTACGCTAGGCTCGCCACTTAGTCAGCTCTGAAATGCCTCCTCACGCGTGGTTCCTAAGGGGGGTGGGTTCCGTGGGAGGCCGGCTGAGGTTGCCAGTAATCAACTTTTTGCTCAAATATTGTTCAATCCTAAGTGTCATTCTAGCAAAGGAGCATTGTCATCAAGCTTTCTTTAGCTGCTAAATCTACACAAGTAGGTGTACTCACGACCCAATCGCCTAGTTCGTTTTGTAGGTTCCATTTTTGTTACTTGAGAAGGAAGAAGGAGATAATAAATCAAACAAACAAATGAAGAATACATCTCTTATAGCCGACGGACAATAATCTTTTTATCGTGTAGAGATTAAAAGAACACTTGTCTACCATTTGCAAGTGCTTTGTTGAAGGAAATGGCACGCCTTTTAAAACACTGGTCCAGACTCCAGAGGCAAGAGGGTCGAACCTCACACCTCTCATTCATTCTACAAGAATGTCCACCTCCTTACCTGCTAGGCTAAAGCGATATTGTCTAAAAAATGATTGGATTTGAAGAAACAAGTAAAGTGTTGTTACAACAAAATTGATTTTCAGAGGTAAGTGTAATATTATCTAACAATCTTTAACAGCGGAAGCAGAACTTTACATGACAAGAATTTAAAGAAGTAAACGAAAATAGTAAGAGCATCTCGGATAGAGGTTATTATAAGAACCAACTTTTTGTTGACAGATCACTTGTGACTCATAAAAGGTCCACAATGCTAGTTCTTATAAGAATCTTGTTGTGGGTCCATGTATTTTTTCAACATCATTAATTATTACATGATCATAAATAAATATCAAATATTTACTTTAAAATATATTAAAAAAACTTGCAAATTGTCACTTCACACCGGCTTATTCTAGAGGGATTGACCGCACAAACTGATACTTTCCAAAGATGCAAACCAACCACGGGAGCACCCAAATGGATAGATACAGTGGCATGGCCACCACTTCATTCTTCCGTTGTAAAGGAAACAAATTACGTTTTTGAAGGGTGTCATTGTATTGTTTTGTTGGGTGCCACCATATAGTTTTAGAAACTCAAATGTTAACACAAGAATTTAATGGCTAAGATGGTAAACGTTCCTACTTTGCATTAGAGAAGCTCTTAGCATTATTAGACCTTCACGTATCAATTCGAACTTAAAACATCCTCTTCTTTAACTTATGTATACTTTGTTCTTCACATACAGAATTATTGTATCCAAAATCAAGCCCATAATAATTCTTAACAGCGACGATAAGGCAGACTTAGGTTGTAGCTTAAAATTATCCCAAAAACACTACATTGCAATTAGCATAAAATCTCCAAAATGATGATTATTTGTAAGGTAATGACCATCTCAATTTCGCATTTCATATGAATCTGTTCTAAAATTCGAGCACTGCGTATAATAACCAAACACGATTACTGATAATTTTAGGGTTTGCTAATTACCCGGTAACTTTAGCCATGGCCCAATCAGTCCAGGACGAGCTGTCCTTCGCATCGCCTTGTTCTTCCGAACTCCGACAGACGATTGCCGTTGTGGCCAAAAGTAGTACCAATAAAGCCACCGTGTTCCTCATTTGTAGGTCGGTGAATTTACTTGTAGAAGATCTAACAAAGGTACCAAAAACAAGTAGAAAAAGTGGAAAATAATAGATCAAAATATGAATTTATTCATGAAGTGTTTCTAAATAGGGAAGAGGAACCAGAGATGGATCGATGAATGCGGTTGGCTTTTTACACCTACCGAGTTCCCCTTTTTTTCCGGCGAACTCTCCGATCACATACATGCCGCATGTATAGTGTAAGATAAAAAATAGGAAAATCTGAATTTTGAATCTATATTTAAAGAAGGTTGTTTGACTCTCCGTTTAGGCCACGTTTCTTAAACTAATTAAATAAGTTGAGTTTCCGTTTACTTAAATGTTTATCCGGTAAGTGCTTAATATTAGAAGTCAACATTATAATTTATTTTATTGTATAAGATTGTAGTACATCAAAACGTATCAATATACAACGATTTACCTGGTAAACGTTTACCGAGTAAGAGTCATCACCCTCACTTACCGGGTAAGACTCTCTATCTTTATCATTGCTCTTACCGGGTAAGATTCTTGGCATTTGCCATGTTTATCCGATGAAAAAAATTACCCGATAAATACTTACCGAGTAAGTATTTAGTATACAGTTTATTAAATTACTGAAATCATAATATCAATTATATATGATTCTTTGAAAATGACTTAATAATTTATAAAAAAAAATTATTTAGTAAGTTTCTAAAGAAGAGTTTTATGTATAGTTAAGTTCTTTTTTTTTTTTTTTCTAAATATGTCTGATGTCTCTCCCAAATAGAAAAACACTCATTCCATGCTTGAAAAAATCATCTCAATCTATACATATAGGGTATGTTTGGTGTCAGGACAGGACAGGACAGGACAAGATAAGATAGGATAAGACATGATAGAACAACTGTTCAACGTTTGATAAGATAGAACTAGACAGAACAAAACAAGTAAAATGATAAATTTACCCCTGATTAGTTGTTTATTTTAATTAATTTATGTAACTTATTAAATTATAATAGAATAACTATTTTATTATATAAAAAATATCAATTGAAATTTTCGTCAAAACAATTAAAATGAAACCAAATAAAAAGTTTATGTAGTTTCTATTTTTATTTTTATCTCTTTTCTACATTATTTTTTATTATTAATATATAATAAATTACATAAATTAATAAAAATATAGAAACCGTATAAAAATAATATTTTGAGGACGGTAAAATGAAAATTTAAGAAACATAACATACAATAAATAAAATTTAAAAAATGAATGAAGTAAAAAAGAGACCTATTTGATGTTTTAGAAGAGAATTAAGTTTTATTTTGAAGTTATATTGGTAAAATATAAGTCTGTTCCACCATGTTTGTTTCACTTTGTTCCACTCTGTTCCACATAAAATTCATGTCAAACATGGGACAAGGATCCCTGTCATGTTCTGTCATGTCCCTATCCAGTGTACCAAACGCACTCATTTAGTAATTCACACAAACAACTTTATCCACACATGCTTAATGAAAAAACCAACCAAAATAATGAAATATGGTGGAATTAGAATATGCATGTTTGGTTGACATATGTAGTTTTGAATTAGAATGCAATAATATGAATGATCAAAATACAATTTTATGACATTTTCATACTTTTATGATTAAATTAGAAATACTATATAATATTAATAATAATTGGCAACAACGACAATGATGGTGGTGGTAGTGGTGGCGATAACGGTTGTGATGGGGGCAATGGTAATGATGGTGACGACAATGGAGTGGGTGCTATTGGTCACGAACCTTTGGGGTTGTGTATTTTTGAAAAAAAAATGGGTATGAATGGAATTGAATTCCGTCACATATATAGTGGGATGATGAAATCCATGAAGGATGAAATCTTTGAAACTCGTTTTTACTTAATGTGTAAACCAGACAGCTAAATTACGGTTATTTAAATCCATATAACATCTGAACTTATACAAGTTTTTATGGGAAAAAAACACTTATTTAAAAATTAGTGGATTATTTACATAAAAAAAAATCATTTACAAGATTGATATCAAAATGTATACAAGATTCCAAATATCAAATCTCCCTTTGAATTTTTGGTTTTTGTGTTAGAATTTAGAGAGAGGGAAGGGTTGAAATGTTGATAGAGAACTCGGAATATATTGTGGGAATTTGTTTATTATCATCAAAACTTTAGTTGAATTGTTAAATATGTATTTTTTATCTATAATCTATACTATATTATAAAACATTTGGCTAAAACTCTTAAAAACTCTTAAACTCTTAAAACTCTTAAACCCGTTCATCCCTAAACAATTTCATCCCTATCCGATTTCATCTCATAACTGAATTCGTGTAACTAACTGCAGATAAACACAATCAAATACATGATAAACATTTCATTTTAAATATAAAAAATCTAAAATATAATTAGG